AGCTAAATGTTTTGAAACTTTATGTTTATGAGAAGATTTTTTTTTTAATATTAAAAAGGATATTGTGAATTATACTATAGATTTTAAATATTCAAATTTGAATGTTAAATATTTTTATGTGGATCGACTATCATCCTTGCTGTTTTTATAATTTTTATTAATAAGAAGAAAATAAATGAAATGCATGGAAGGATTTGACAAATAAACAGATTGATGTGAGAGAGAAAAAAGAGAGGTCAAAGGAGATTGAACATTTGTAAGGGCAAGAGAATCGTAGGCTTAGGCAAATCCATGCGCGAATAAATTGCACCATATAAAGTGGTGGGGCCTAAACTTAGCTACATAATTGCAATATTCATATTCTTCCTTTGGGAAACATATATAACCATTTGGTACGACATAGTATACCAATTTGTTTCCTATGAAAACAAAAAGAGTTTCATATTGATGATTAAAAAAAAAAGAAAAGAGAAAAAAAAGGTGTTGGTGCTCATTGACTCTAATTGTGCTAGGTCTTGTTGCCACCCATTATTTTTCAAAAGCCATTGATATACTCATTCTGTCTTAAACTAGTTCTTTACACACTAAAAAATTATATAGTATACTAATTAATAGATATTTATTGAATAATATAAAATTTGAAAAGTATTTATTTTTGTGTCTAGGTCTTAGATATGAATTTTGTTTTACTTGCATAAATATTTGTTGTTATGGGTAAGCCAAATGAAGAATCACGATTCATAAAAACCTACGAACTTGAGTGATCATGAATGTGGACATATTCTTAGATTTGTAGAGTCAGAGATAAAGAAATTAGTTTGAGAGGCGTTACAGTTATTTTGTCCTTCTATATAAATAATTTATTCACATGATATGAAAGTCTCCCGATATATAATATAATAGACTCATTTCAAATTACTCTAAGTTATATAATGATAACTTTAAAAAAAAGTTTTTATATTAAATTTTAAATTATTTTTCTGAATAATTTAAAAAAAACATATTATTACTTAACATATTCAATCAAAATATTCGCCAAAGATTCGGATGTAAAATGGGAATACCAAAATAAACTTCAAGAAAATATTAGAATTAATTTTACCTTTCTGTTCTACAATTCTATTACTGAGAAAACAGGTTTTGATTTTAAGAACATCTAAATATGAAATTGTAAAATTGGAAATAGGTGATTAATTACCTTTCCTCACCTTAAGTTGAACACATGTGAAATCAATTGAATTTATTTATTCGACAATTTATTACGTGAAATATCTTTTTTAAAAGTTGAAGTTGAGAATATCAAATTTTTATGTTTGATTTATTATCTAAAAAATAACATTTATAGGAAATATGGTTTCACGAGAATATTTTTTATACAAGTTTTCATCAAATAGTTTTAATGTAACATTAAAATAATTATATTAAAATGAATGTTTTCTTTTAAAAAAAAATTGAATGTTTTATTGTGGTAAAAATAAAAATATTTTGCAAGCTATTACGTTTTTTCAAGTAATATTTATAAACACTAAAAAAAAATATTTACGACTAAATAAATAGATTTAATTATTTCAACGAATTATAATTTTCAGATTTATAATTTCAAAAAAAATTAACGGTGATTTCTCATCATAATTTTTTTTTTCTTTTTATCAAACGTCTCTCTCAAGAACATACACACAAATATATATAAATATATATATATATATATATA